TTTTTTGCCTCACTTAAGAGGCTACTTATCTGGTAATAAAATTAATTGTTATGCTGTTTACGCAAAACTCAATCATGAATATTCCAATTCAACTTCTTTGTACCGGTGGATCTCTTGAAAGCTGCTGAAATTTATATAAGGGAAATGTTTTTTGCGTTGGCATTGCGTCTGGAGCATCTCATATTTCTCATGCCCTTCACTTCACGGTCACAATCAGGAGTTGAAGGAGGAAGAATAAACTCTCATTCATCCAATCTATTAACTCTCCTAACCCACAGCAGCTCAGGGTCAGAGTCCACCACTTGCACAGAGCTTCAGGAACACAGAAGTATACCACTGAGCACACAGAGCACACTTCCAAGACTTATTCCAAGGTTAATGCTCCTGGTCTTGCTTGGATTTTGATTCCCACAGAATAAGTCACTGTGCTGCAGCCACTGGCACAAAAGTCAATGTACATTCTGTTTTGTACGGCTTTCTCAGCTGTAAACTTTCCAATGTAAACAATGATACACAATGAGGTAGTTCCTCAAAACCATCAATTCCTGGATATTATTTTGCACATTCCTGCTACAAACCTGTTACAGCCTCTTCATTCAACCCATAAATTAAATGAGTATGAGTTGTACATATTGTCTCTTTTTTATTATATGTATATATTGTCCTCTTATATTGTCTTATTTTCTTTCTTGTATGTTATATTTCATACTATGTTATTCTATGCAAATTAGAAGTATATAATATGTGAAAACATATATGTGGTCAATTAAACCGATTCAGATTTTCTAAAAGTTTGTTACACAAAACCTCAACTAGCCTATAACTTGTCTGGACTTCACACATACAACAATTTATGTTAGGGTTGTTGTTTGGAGCGTCAAAATTGGGTGAAAAAGTGATGTAAGGGCCAGTTAAGGGTGGTGATAAAGATTATCTTTTGTGTGTTGGTAAGGAAGATGGGCAAGACCAACCTACTTTGATCGACTCAGGAAATAGCTCCTTAGAAGTCTTCAGAAAAGCTTAGTATCCTCTCTTACAGTATTCATAACATATACAAGTGCTAGACGTAGAGGAATCGTGTCTTGATATTAGTAATAGAGACCAGTATGACAGCTCGTGAGGAGATTGTCCACATGTAATATCGGTTGCCACAAATGTAACATAGTCATACTAGGCCTTTCAACTCTAGACATGTCACTTAATTTGGAGTCACTTTATTGTCCTGGAGACACAGAGTTCTTAGCAGCTTGAGTTTAGTTAATACCGTAAAAGTTTGAGCATACATTTATCTTATATTTATTTTCAATGATCTTGATAGTAATTTTTATGGGGTATTATGTTTATGTGAATAGTTTGGAATATGGGGTTGCTGATAGTTAAGTTGATAGATATGAGAGATATATGATGAGTTTCTTGTTTTTTTGTTTTTTGGATTATTTTTGTGTGATTGGATTGATGTGGGATAGAAGATAGAATGTGATTAGAGTATTGTTATTTTTTTTTTGATTGGTATTATATTGTAGTTAGTAGTTGGTGTTTTTTTTTTGATTTAGATGATAGATATGATTATTGGTGAAGATAGATATTTTGTTTGTGGGGTATTTAGTGGGTGTATTTAATTTATCTTGGTTATTTAATGTTTCCCGCTAAGGATGGTGGAAAGTTATAATGGTTGATTGATAGCTAGCCGGGATTCAGATGTCAATTATTTATTTTAGAAGTCTTATTTCAGTGGGGAGTGTAACGAGTTCTTATATCGCTTCCTTAGACAGCGGGTTAATGAGTCTTTGCTGAAGCTGCTTCTTTAGCTTTGTCCAGTGTGTGTGTAGGGGGTGGGGAGGGAACGTCCTATGATTGCCAGACTAGTTTGCAAGCATCCTCTCCCTCCACCTACCTCCCTCCCAGGTGTGTACAAGCTCAAGGCCAACAACATACCTTGCCTTTTTTAATGTGGAGTGTGTTTCAAGTCTGTGGCGTCCCGTTTTCCTTGTATGCCCGCACCCCAGACACCGCTGAGCAAAGATAGTGAGTGAGGCTCGCCACAACTAGACTGAAGTAAATTACTATCTTGCAATCATCCTGTTGCATGACGTTGTGAATAGACCGTGAGCTTCCTCCAGAAGAGTGAAGTGAGCCGGTCTCAGATGCGCCTTGCTGTGAAGATGGCCCTGAGTTGTGGGACCAGTGCAGGTTTTTGTCCCCAGTGTGATGGATCCAAGTACGTTATGTTCGCCGACACTTATAGCATAGGCCACATCGTGCCCACCCACATTGATCAGTTCTAGATAATAAAATCATGATTCAGGGTCTAATAAACTATATGGTGAGGTGTCATGGGGAGATGTAAACGGAATGTCCAATGGTACGTCTACTTCTACACTATAAAGTTGGGGATATATATTATTATACATAGTGTTTACGTCCACTAACAAGTTATTTTACTTTTAAGGAAATTTGATTTTATAGAGTATGAGATAGTAAAGGAAAGGGAGGTAAAAAAACAGTTCCTTGTCTGGATGCTCTGAAGCATTCTTCACATTAATAAATGATTAATAAAGTTGTAAATAACATCTTTACAGTTAGGCCATAGGCAGACCTGGCTTTCTGTAAGGTAGCAGGCCCCAGAAATCCCATTTTGTTTAACAATTGTTACTCTAAAGTTCAGTTGAGAAATAAAACATTTATATGTTGTGATGTATGCAAACAGTATAGTCTTATATTTAGTCAATTAAAGCATTTCTTGTGCTTTTCTCTATATTTTGTACATTTTACTACACTGCATTTATTTGACAGTTATATGTACTTTATTTGCAGATTAATTTATAGTCTACATAAATCAAACATAATTTTACATATTGTATGAAACACAAACTGTATATGAAGTTGTTTCTGCTAATGAGCCATTTGGCATAATGTTTATTTGGATTTAGCCTGTATTCTGTCCTCTGTGGAAAAAAATAAACATGATGAAACCCTCAGCTCGCATTAGGGGAATTTGAGATCTTGTGTGTGACTCCTACGAGGGTCTAAAAGTCACGATATCTCAAGCCTCTGCTGCTTCGACTCTTAAATCTGTCTCTCCACCCCCCCCCCCAACACACTAAATCCCTTACCTCTTTAAGTACATTGTGCCGGATAATCTTTCACGTCCTTTTAATTTCTTGACTTCTTTATACAGTTTTAAATTAGCTAAATACGTCTTACACTATTGGTGTTTGGTTCTTCATATTTGATACCTTACTCGACCTGTGAAGATAGTAAGGATGGTTAAACTGCCAACTATGAGGGTGCCAAGCAACTTATTCAGAGATCCAGAGATCCCTTCCAAAATATTTTTGAGACCCATATAAAAATAATCTGCTTTAAATAGTTGGCCTCTACGTGCTTCTAAATGTAAATAGTTCTTAGTTCCTTGTGTGTTTTTATCTCAGAGGTGAACTGTAGTAGTCATACTTAAAATCTGAGTCACATATTAAAACAATTTTAATCTTAACCAGGGTTTGAACTGTTTAACCATTCACCTGTTGCATGCAGCTGGTGGACTTTTTATGTTTCTTTGTGCCTGCCCTTCAGACAGTCTGAGTTCGCCACACGTCTATATACAGCATGCAGGATTTATATTTGACAACGATGATGATGATGATGATAATGATATGTACATGTTAACACACAGATCACTGAATCAATTCAAGTGAAGGAACAAAAAGGACAACACATTTTGGAGCACAGAGCGACTTTAAAGTTAAGACAAACCGACCAATATTGTGTTCTAATTGAAGGAGTAACAACTATGAGTGTTTTCAGTGGTAAAACTGTAGCACTGTACTTAAATACAAACTTAAGATACTTTACTTAAATGTTAAGTACTACACTACTTACTTTACTTCATGCCACTTTCTACTTCTACTACACTACAATTCCAAATGCAAAATGTTGTACTTTTTATTTCACTACATTTATCCAACAGCTTTAGTTACTAGTTACTTTACCAATCTGTATAGAATAAATTAAGTACTTAAGCTTTCTTATAAATTAAACTGTAATATATATCAATAACAATAATAAATATTAATTAATAATTACTATTTTATTAATCATTTGAGTAATTTCTTCATGAAAAAACATTACATGGTTCCAGATTCTCATATGTGGTGATGTGCTGCTTTTTCTTTGACTCATTTTATAATTTTTATTTATTGTTTGGACTCTTGGTGGGACAAAAGAAGAACTGTGAAGGTGCCACTTTGGGCTCTGGGTAGTTGTGGCAGCATTTCTCACTGTGTTGATATATATAAT